ATTCATAAATTAACCACTAAATAGTGTAAATTATTAAATTTAATCAACTACTATCACAAGGAGAGACAGCAAAGCACAAGGAATTAAGGGAGTACCCTAGATGCTGGTTAGTGTGGTGAAGTACTAACCAGACCCAAGTCTCTTACTAGTTAGCACTGAGCACTCAACGCAACTAAACGTCATGGCCTTTGGTTTGTCCAACTCAATATATGGAAAGCATTGTTTTGGAAAAGAGGATTTAAGATATTTGAGAATAAAAGACAGGAAAAACTGAGCTAGCCCTGTGGAATTACAATGGAGCGAGGGCCCTCTGTATAGGATGGGAATAGAGAAACTGTAAAAATACACCATGTGCCTCAAAGTAAATATTTAACAATAAATAGCTCAATAAAATATATGCTAAGAAAGGCTCGCTTACTGTGGCTTGTTGGCAGTCATGATTTACCCAGAACAAAATTAAAAGCATGGAAGGGCAAAGAAAGCGAGGCTTTTCCTAGGTGAGTTGAAGTCACCACAAGTGCTGGGCCAGAGCAGTGCCAGAGGAACCTCTGGCATCAGATCCCAGCTCTGATCCCACCACGGTGTGTGGTGTGCACTCATCCAGTTCAGTGATGAGTAACACGGCCACAGTGTCCACACTGAACAGAGAGCCTTACTCTGGGCAAACATCAGAGGCTACAAGAACTGAGGACAAGGGGCTGGGCAGGTGGCTCAGTGGAAGAGTGCTTGCCTTATATGCATGAAGCCCTGGGTTTGATTCCTCAGCACCACATAAACAGAAAAGGCCGGAGGTGGGGCTGTGGCTCAAGTGGCAGAGTGCCAGCCTTGAGCTGAAGAGCTGAGGGACAGCACCCAGGCCCCACGACCAACAACAAAAGAACTGAGGACAAGCGAAGCGGCTCTTTCCCCCTTTCACGGCTCCAGACGGGAGGTGGTGTACTCTAGTCAGACTATGCTAGATGACGGGAGTCCTGAACAGGCACTCCTGGCTCCAGGATCAAGGTTCCTGTCATCCCAGGGACACAGTGGGGGCTGAGTGACACATGAGACTGTCCTGAGGAACACACTTAACACACAGACTTGTGAGGTCACCACAGTTTGCCCTAGCAAGCATGTTTTCAATGATTTGGGCATAAGATCTATCTTCCACCCTTAGAGCTTTGAAAGACAGAGACTTTATATGTTACTTCTATATAATTTAATCTGTTGTTTCACTTTACTTGCTATGAAGTAATTCTAACTCAAATCCATCTATGTGTATACTTCCACACAGGCTATAATAATTATGTGTTAGGAATCATGTGACCTATCTGAAGTACATAAGCAAGTCTGTCCTTCCGGAATATCCTGGCAGGTGAAGTTCACAGTGAGAGCTACATCCATGAGCAGAAAAACCAGTAAACATATGACTTGCATTCAAAATTATACATATCCAACCAGGGAAAGGGTACAGTTTTCTATAGCCAGCCTAACTTCTCTTGCATATACTCAAGTGGTAGAGTGCCAGCTGTGCAAGCAAGCCAAGCAAATGCAAGGCTCTGAGTTCAAACCCTAGTAACAAAAAAACAAATGTCAGGCACTGAGTGAGGACACGGGGGGGG